GTGAAGCGACACGCAACGGAGAGAAATTTCAACATGGGATAAATTAATATATTTTTTCGTACATGATTCGTTATCCGAAAAATAAGTTATCTGAACCACCCCAGTCCCCAATTGATTCGGATAAACGACGCTCTACTGTATTTACTTAAAAAGCCTATTAAAGTTTAATAATTAAATTAAAAAAATATATTAATTTAAACTTTTTGGCAGATTCTTAAAGCAGAATTATTTTTACTAAGGGGGGTCTGACAGAAGATGAAGTTTGGGAAACACTGGAGTAATACATACTCTCTGGGTATTTTTGTACCTAAAGATATACAACTTTTTAGAATATTTCATTAATTTATGTTTTTCTCTTGGGATTTAAATAAAGACAGACTGTTGATGATAAAAATATTAAAACTGATTAATTACTATAATTTATAAAAATTAGAAAAATGTTGACAGCATTGTTTACTCAGAGTTGCATTTGGGAAAGTGTGCAAAACAAGAATTCACACAAAGAAGATACACATTAAGGATAAATCCTCTGAAATTTTTGAAATATGTAATGAATTGAAAAATTGTATAGGTTGGTTATTTCAATTATAAAAAACTAATTTATTGATATTAGATATTTTTAAACAGTTAAATAAAATTTGTAGAGAGAGTTTTTAGGTACCATGCAAAAAAATCAACTGAAAGCTACTTATATAATAGAAATGTAAATAATATACACCATTTGCTGATCTTTTTCATAGAGATTAAATTCATTTACGGTTTTTCAAACCATGCACAAATGTATTGAGTGAGTTTATTTTCATTTTGACATGTGTAATAACACTAATAAATGTTTTATTACATTATAAGATTGTACTATTTTTAAAATCATTCAAAATTTGAGTGAATAAATTGTGATCCCATTGAATTTTTTGCTTTATTGGCTGTTATACATCAGAAGGAAAGTATTGTAATCAGTCTGATTTTAGCCTTTTGGATTTTTTGCATTTCTTGATATTTTAAGATCCTGATTCCAAAAATAAAAAAAGATACAAAATTATGTGCATGATCCTGTATTTTGCTTTAAACCTCAGAACACTATTGACCAAAATTTTTGAATTTTAGCAGGAATATTTTACATTGATCTAATTAATTTTGATTATTATAAATCAAGGCAGAGGGAAGGTCAGACTAAAATTTGTAATTGTTAACAATGAGTAAAATTTTCATTAAGAACTCATCCCCACCATCAAAAATAAGGCTTTTACCTTTTATAATAATTAGTATAAAAAGATATTTTAAAATAAATTCACTTAACAAATGTTACCCCACACAATTTTCCTCCTAACCTCCCATTTGAGTGCCAGGAAAAATTACAATTGAACTTCTAATGATGGCCAGTTTTCAAAATACATACAAATTTTGCAATAATAGCCATTTCTTGTTACTGTGAGTGGCCATCGTTCACAGGTTCAGCCATACCTTATTTAAGGCAACACCAAGAGCATTGCAAAAAACTTCCAGGAGATTGGGTCAAGTCTCCAGTAAGACATATGAGAGAGAACAATCTGAAATACTGTTAATAATCTAACCTCAATAAAATTTTTTGAAATCTTTTTACTTGTTTTGAACTGCTCATGATTACCATTCAAACTGTTTGAAGGCAGGTATGAAAACGAGTCTAAAATGAAAACAATGCAAAATATGATAAAATTATTAAATAAAATGAAACTATTTAAATTAAAAGTTGATTGTGTAACAAAAAAATTAATTTTCAATTAAAGTTTTTTCATTTATTAATACATTATAAAATGACAAATTTAATAAATAAAAAATAAACTTATTCTAAATATCCTGTTATAAATCCATAACTAAAACTTTGTAAAGGAGAAAGATGAAAACAGCTGTTTTACAGTTGTGGATTAATAACATGATAAATTACTTTTCTATAATAAAATGTCTTATTTTAAATTTTAATAATTCAGTGATTCTAAAAAAATTAGTTTGAATTTTTAACAATAATTTGTTAATTTAATCAATTTTGATTAGGCTATTTATTGCATTGAACATCAGATCCCATACATTTGAACAATTTAGTACTTTTAATTGAATGTTCTATGTAAAATGTTTACTGATAATTTTTTAAAATCACTTTCTCTCATTTTTTTTTGGTTATATACACAATTTCTACTTGGATACATGATATTCAGCACTATCTATCCTATTAAAATATTTAAAATTCTTTGATGGTGTAATAAACCAAATAATTTACCAAATAAATCTCTCAAATACTATTTTTTTATTAAATATAGATATTTTTTCTAATTTATCAGACTGATTACTGATGATTTACGAATGTTCTTATTTATAATTTCATTTAAGTGTGGAATACTTATTTTAGGTGATTTTGCTATGTTACTGAAAGCTGGAATGACAGTAAAACAAGCTTTGTTATATAATGGACTATCTTCCATTCTTTGTTTTGTTGGAATGTTAATAGGAGTTGCTTTAGGTAATGTACAGTCTGCAACATTATGGGTTTTTGCTGGAGCTGCAGGCATGTTTTTGTATATAGCCCTTGTTGACATGGTAAGAATTAAATTATCTCAAATGTAAATGTTAACTTTCACACAGATTAAACATATTATTTTTGTTTCAGCTGCCAGAATTAGGATCCAGTCCAACTCATCCTGGTTCCAACAGTACTTATCTCTTAGCGGTTCAGTTGACAGGCATTTCTTTGGGTATTGTGATCATGCTGATTATAGCAATTTATGAACACGATCTGCAGCACATAGTAAATTGACTGGCGCCGAAACTTTTATCCAACAATGACCGAAGTCTAGAAAGCATTTATTTATGCTACTGCCATAATTTCCAATTGGAAATATCTTTTATATCTTAACCTGCTTATTAATGAATGTGCAATATTATTAAGTCCATTCTTTGGTGCTTCCAGAAGTTTATTTAGTTTGAATCTTTAGTTGGCAATGGACAAGTTTATCTGATTAAATACATTAGCGATCACTTTAACCAGAGTGCCAGAATGATGTTTAAAAGGCAGGGTCTTGTTGCTGCAATGCATCTTTTCACATGGAACAAATTGTATTGATTATAGCCAAAGAAACAGATGATAATGACTATCAACTATTTTTTCAACAGAGATCCAACAAATAATTAACAGTTTTATGATGTTTTTGTGTGCAATTTCTTCAATATAAACTAAGGATGCAGACTTCCTTCCCTCGTGATTTAAAATGAAAATTTCATTAATTTTATTATAATAGCAGAACATTACTTTCTTACATGTGGTGGATCCAATTTCTAAATAATTAAGAAAAAGAAAACCTAAATTATACAGTGATACCTCTGTTTTCATTGATAATCCATCTGAAAATACTAAAAACAATACAAAATTGCTGAAATAGGCTGCTTTTATATTAATGTTAATGGAAATCATTGAAAAATACAAGTGTAACTTCTTCAACTTTGATCATGTTCCTGGCCTTCTTTGAGGGCTGAGGGCTGAGGGCTCCGGAAACTTTCTTTAGTCCTATGCTGGAGCAAAAAGCAAAGGAAAGCGATGAAATTGTTTAGCTAGAGGTGCAGGGTAATAATGCTCACACAACGAGCAGGAAATGCGTGGGTCACCCTTTGTTTTTGCAAAATTTGTAGTGAGGTCATGAGGGCATGCCAATGAAAACTGAGATAAATTTTTCGCAAAAAAATTGAGACAGACAGAGGTATTACTGTATTTCATGCAATCTTATCATTCTCATATGATCCCATTTTTCGATAAAACTGTGATAACAAAGTGTCTGCAAATTAGCATTTCAAGCACTTTTCTTAAATATATATATATACACAATTCTTTTGTGTGTTGGAAGTGCTTTGTTTGGATTCAAACATGCTCAATATTTTTCTGCAGATCTGACCTCAAATTATTGTTACTGTTATTTATTTTTTAGCATATGTTTATTTAAAATATGAAATTTTAATTGTCAATAGATAATTACTAAGTTTTAAAATATTTTCATCATGAATTGAAAATATATAAAACTACTAAAAAAAACAAAATCAAAGTGATGTAGATTTCATTAAATTATATATTTTACATCACTTCTAATAACTAATTTTATATTTTATGAAAAGAAATCAAAATTTATTTTTTTGAAGATGAAATAGTTTTTGATTCCACAAACATTCCTGCATACTAATTTAGATTTTTTGCTATTTCCTTTATATTTTTTGCTAATTCTAGTGAATTTTTTAATTAATGTATTTAGATATAGACTAAGATTAACAATAGATTATTTTATTAGAATTTTGTATAAAGATCTGATTTATCTTTCTTTTGATCTGCAATGAACAATGATGTATTGTTACTATTTGTTTGTATATTCCAGAATTGTAAAACACTAAGATAACTATTTGCCTTCACAATTATTTGTGATGGAAGTTAAAATAAAAAGGTATTCTTGATGATGTGTACTTAGCATTTTTGCAAACAATAATAAAAACTTTTTATGAAAATAGAAAATGGCAACTCTGGCATAATGTTTTTTTTTCTATTAATATTTTAATATTACAAAATGTTTAAATAATACAAAACTTAAAACAGCCATATTTATTCAACTGTTTTGCAGAACTTAAACTGCATTCTCTGCAACAATGTAACTAGAACTGAATTCCTCTTTTTGGTAAAAACAGTGAACTAAGGATATATAACATTTAGAATTAGGCACTTTCTTACTAATGTTAAGAATGTTTGTTATTCAAAATTAAAACAGCATGCAGAAATTGCATTTTTTCAACAAATTCTGTAAAAAAAATTTCCTAGCTAATGCAGTTCGTAAGTATTGCCAATATTAACATTAAAATTTATATATATATATATATATATATATATTTTTTCTTTTTATATTTAAAATCACAGTGAAAAGTTTCGCTCATGTGTAATCCCCATTCTGTGAAATTACACGTGCCATATAACAAAATAACACATTTCTGTATTATATTCTCCTGATATACCTCCCGCACAAGGAAAATTTAAGACTAGAAATTCCAACTGTCCTTTAGTTCTAAGTCACTCATCAATGTTGTAACAACCATTGCTTCTTTGTTATCTACGAAAACAAATTTCATAATTCAGCATCATCATAGTTTTGTAAGACCCCTTTAGTAAATATATTTACCTTTAGATATCTCGGGGATTTCTGTAAACGGCGTAACTATTGCCAGCATATCAATAAGAGTTACTGTGGATTTTTTGCATTGCTTTATGCATCCATGTTGTAATAACTGAAAGGCATGTGGCCTGTAAATATAAGAAATTTTATATTGTCATCAAATTTAAAGACTTTTGAAATATGTTAAATCAATATCTACCTAAGGGAAGGATCGCGTTGTAAACAAGTTTCTGTAAAAGCATGGAAGGCCTCTGAGAATTGGCGGTTGCGATAGCTGCTTTCTCCATCATATTTTGTCTGAAACTTATAAACTAAAAATAAATTTACTCATTAAGAAAAGCATTTCTACTTCAAAACTCTTTGTTTCTATTTAGAAAAATGTTAAAATTTACCAGAATCGCCGTCGTTAAAACAAGAAGCATCCAATGGACGTGGATAATATCCCTGCAATTTTTCCAAAAGCATCTGAGTGGGCGGGATGTCGGAAAATGGAACAACACCATTGGCCAATTCGCACGCAGTAATACCTAAGCTATATATATCTGATTTAGAGTTATAACCAAGAAGATTCTGAAACATAAATTTATTTGATATACTTTCCATGTAATAATTAAATTTAACCACATTATAATTAAAAGTTTACCTGTTCTAATATTTCAGGACTTAACCAATTCAAATTAGCAACAGAATCATGAGGAAAAACATGAATGGAAGGTTGCCACCTTCCATTATTTATCACATTACAAGAATATCTTAATCCTGTTAAAACAGCTCTTCCATTTCCAGATATCAAAATATGACTGGCTTTAACACTCCTGTAGAAAGATCAAAAGAAAAAAATGACTTATTGCATAATTTAAAGAAATTACTTATTGCATAATTAAAAATAAACTATATGAAACTTTACCTATGAATAAAACCTCTTTTGTGAATATAATCTAATGCAAATAATACATCTCGTAAAATAAAAGCTATTGCAACTTCTGGTAGACCAAGAGGAAAATGGCTATTGACAATATCTTTTGAAGACCCTGAAAAAATGTTTAATATTTACATTCAATTTATATCTAGAAAAGATCACTTTAAAAAACTCACCATATGACATTAATGGCATCACTGCCCACACTTCGTTGTCAACAACAAAACTACATAAATATGGAAGAATATTCTCATGCCTTAACTGTCTTGTTATCAGAATTTCATTCTGAAATGTAATTAATACATAAATTATTAGAAATTTAATGTATATTCGTTTTGTCCTACAAAAATTATTCTTTAAAATTTAACAAAAACATTGAGTTATGAAATATTCAATGTGAATTTTCTGTATTATTCAAGTATCTGACATTTATTATTGAAAATAAATTATTCAAAAATTGAAATTATTTTGTAACAAATCAGAAACACCTATTTAGTTTTATCTTAACACATTGACTACCATAGTGAAATGGTCTCCAATGCCATTCTTAATCAGGCATGTAATTGTATGTACAATCAATTTATAACATTTATTCTCCAGCCAAGCTCAAAGCTTTTGGCCAAAAAAAAACCTATGCAAATTATCCCATAGCTGGCACATGAAACCAAACTCCTCAAACAGGGCAACTATGTGATAGCTAATAGTATGACATTTAGGCATTAAAAAATATAGTTAAAAACCATGTAAACAGTTATGATTTTTATAGTGTCTAGATGTTCTAGCTTTAGTGATATCTCAATCAAGTCTGATTAAACCAAATATAATTAGAGATTATAACAATGGAATGTCTGGCATGGACTGATTAGATCAAATATTTATTATTCAATACTAACATAAACCATCAGATGGAAAATTTACACTTCATATTCTAGAAATACTTATACATAATTAAGTACAGTAGAATCTCATTTTAATGGATTGCTTGGGCCATAGAAAATCATCATTGTTTTGAGAATCTGTTATATCACAAATAATGGTTTTCCCCCATACCCAGGAAAATATTATTCATTATTCAAAACAGTTTTACAAGTTTTAATCTCCTACGCATAAGAAATGACAGTACTTGAAATTATTCACTCTCTTGAGATCTCTGTTCTTTAGTCTATAGAAAAACATGTTACAAGATTGCAAAGCTCATTAGCACTTCACTTTGTTAAATTTGCCTTCAAGATATGTTTAAAAAATTCATCCATCTTGGATTGTTTTGATGTTGTTTTTCTGCCTATTAAGTAGAACAACTTCTTGATATTAATGTCACATACAGTCTGTTCTCTTATGCTGAAACTTGAAAGGAAGGTCTTCACAACTTGGAAAGACTCAATAGTCTTGCTAAATTTTGGCACTACACTTGGACCAGCATCAGAATGTTCATTAGGTGGCTCCTCCTCAATCATATCAACCTACTGACTCTCTTTGTACAATTCTACAATTGTACTCTACAGGTATCACAGATGTAACAAGTGCATCATTGAATTCTACAAATTCCTGGAAACACCCAAATATTAACCAAACGTAGAAAAAACACAAAGTTTAGAATGGATGGAGCGAGAAAAAAATCCATTATTTTGAGTTACAGATTCACTAAAAGTAGGTAAAATTACAGCAATTTGGCAGGACCTGGAAAAAAATCCATTATTTCCAGAAATCTGTTGTTCCATTATCTGTTAAAACAATACTTTTACTATTTCCACATCTAACAACTCAGGTTTTTTCATTTCTGAATGTACATACTTTCTTAATTCTAATAAGCATTCTCCAGTAGCCAAGAGCCTAAAGCCACCAAACTCTGGTAGTTAGTTAGTCATGGGTTCAGACATGGTCAACAGGCTGGCCATGTGGAGTTTTTCACGTTTTCTTCACGTTAATAACACCTAAATAGGATCCAGCTTCAAGTCTTCATGCATCTCCCTTGGAAGATTGCTTGCATGTTGTGCTGCCATAAACCAAACTAATTCTAATGAGTGATTATTTATTGTGATATCGTCAATGATGGGCTGCAACTTTTCATCACAATGTTCTCAATTTTTTTGGTGGTGGTCTGATCCCTATACATCATACTTTTCCTGTTAGCAACAGAGTTGTGTTGGTCATCTATCTAACTTTGTTCAGCAGAAAATTTTGAATCAAAGTAACATGACTTCCATTCCTGCCTTAAGCTTTCCACATTCATCTGGTCTTGACTTTCATCTATCTAACTCCTTTCTCAAGATTAAGGTAGGATAGAAGACAGACGGGATGACAGTCGGAATTTATAGGTCTACAGTTTTTTCAAATTGTAACACAATAATTTTTCTGTAAACACAATATTTATGAGAATGTACTTCCCACATAGTTTATACAATCTATTGCCAAAATATAAATACTTTATTATCACATAAAAGCAATTATTCTCACATTTTTATAAGATTTTTTATTTAAACAAGTCATATGAAGTCTTTTGGATGTTAAGGTTAACAGCTTCAATCACATGTGAGGCCATCAGAACCTGTCTAACATGGATCACTTTTTGAATATTAATAGTAGATCAGTATAATCTAGTATTAATATATTAATATCTACTATTAATATCTAGTAGTCATTGACCATCCTCCCTTCCAGGAAGAGGTCAACAACTACATTTGGTCAAATTACTTCAATCCCCTTTCACAACAGTCCCTTCTTTCTATCAGACCAGAGGTATAGTGGCATTTGAATAGGAAAATTACATAATATGAGGTTACCAACCTGCACAAAATATATTTTAAGTGGTTTTGACAGTGCTGAGTTTAAATATTTGGTCTGTTTTTCATGAAATTTGATTGGTTGGCAGATGACCATTTGATATTTGGCTATGAATGATACAGTTTCTTCAAATTAACATTAGAAAAGAAATGTGATATCTGAAAAAATTTAAGATATCACATTTTCAATTGGTGTCTACTTAACCAGTGAAATTATGTCATTTTGTACCATCCAAGTATCATGATAAATGTAATGATGGTAGGCTGAAACAACCAAACTTTTTATTTGGTTTTTGTTTTAGTGTTTGTTATGTTATAGTATTTGATTTATATAGCTGCAAAGGTTATCTTATGTAAGGGTTTATCACACTGAGTGACCAATCTAACACATTTTAAAAATTCTTTATTCCTCTACAGTACACAATTTAAAGAATTTTTAAAATATGTTAGACTGGTCACTTGGTATGATAAACTCCTACAT